ATTTATACTACCCCTGTAACTACTTTTCTTGCCCCTTCTGTACTTGCTCAGGACACCTCTTGGATGCCATTGTCGTCTGATGTTGTTTTTTACTCCATATTTGAACTCAGAATGTGGTCACCCACCTAATCTCAACACTGTAAGAATCATTTTGTCAGCATCATCTCTTTGATAGGAAGTATTAGAAGTTGTTCGCCAAGCTCCACATCAACATTAGCTCCAATGATGAGTCTTTGGACTAGTTCTACTTTGGTCCCGACTTTTGCTAGTGCCAAAAAAAGGAGTACAATATTAGTTTTGTTTTTGAAAACCTTTATTTAAGTCTTTTTGTTCTATGCACTATTAAAACTATTTGCTCTATCTTAAGGGAGCATACTTATTATGTTTATAAAGTCTTGATATATCATTTTCCTAGTATAGATAATTATATGTTGATACTTATGTATGATTTATTTCTATACTTACATGCTCTTATATATATATATATATATATAAATGTTGATACTTATGCATGATTTATTTCAATAACGTTTGCTATGATATCTTGAAACAAATTTTTTCTCTATGAATAATGCATGAAGAAATTGCTAGGATTTTTTTTTCTCTGCTAAAAATGCATGCATGAAAAATTTCTTGAGTGAGTATTTTCACTTTAATAAGAATATGTTATTTGTTATATAATAAATGACAATGTTTAAACTTTGAAGACTTAGTAAAATGAACATATCGTCTAAACACATCACTTTTTCTCAATATATATATATATATTGATTAATAATTTTTGTCTAAAATTGAAAATGACTAGATTTGATGTGCTTAAATTTTTTTCTTCTCAAAAATGTGTTTGTCACCATCAAAAAGGGGGAGATTATTAGGTCAAAAGATGATCTTAAATCCCTCAGACTTTAAGTTTTAATAATAAAAAAATGGATCTTATTTTGAAAGAAAAGTGTTTTTTTAGATCAAGCTTTAAGACGAATAGGGATAAAATGATTAATTATTAGGACATTTAGTTTCACAAACAAAGTACTTCATCTGTAAGACAAATTCTTTGTATGTATAACATTATTGATATGTCCAATGACAGAATCATCTTTGTCTACTTGATTCCTTAATAGATCGAATGAAAAAAGCTTCTTCGGTTCTTACAATTCACTAAAGGAACTAAAGGCATGTTTTGTATCAGAAAAAAAGGACTAAAATATCCCTTAAAGCACGAAAATCTTCAAGTAAAAAAGGCTACTTCAAACTAACACACACATGGCTCCTCTCGTTTAGCACCTTAAAGGTGATAAGTAGCAACATCTTCTAATACTTGGATAGTTGTTTGAAAAGACTAGTCAAAGAACACCTATGTTGACTCATAAGTGACTTGTTAAAGAATACTTGTATCTTTATAAAAGATAATGGAAATTGATCGAGTTAATCAAGAATTGGATGTAGTCTCGGTGGTTGAGGTGAACCAGTATAAAAGCATTGTGTGTTCTTCTTATCTTACTCTTCATCTACTCTCTTAAGATCTTGCTACTAGTTCATTATTTTGAAAAGTGATGAGTTTTTTTTTTGATACTATTCAACCCCTCCTTTTAGTGTCTCTTTTTTCTCCACATAACCCAATTATAGGATTTATTTTAATGGAATAGCCTTGGCCAAGGGTTCTACTACTAGGACCATGACTAGGAGAATACAAAAGGACTGGGCCTATAATAATGATATCGAGCCTAAGCTCATCTTGAGCTACAACCTTCAAGGCATATAGCCCAACACTTCTTATGTAAATATGTCTTTTATTTTGACATTGTATTATGGGTTAATTAGCATAACATTTATTTTTTCTTGTATTTTCTTTTAGGTGTAATTAGCATATTAGGAGGTGTAACTATTAAACAGTCAATGTAATTAAATGATTAGTTATTGGGCTTAAGAGGTGGCGCCACCCACATGGGGGTTGGACGTCCACTTATTGTATCATACACCTTACCTTAGGCTAGCTAAGTCAATTTAATCACATGTGCCATCCATTTGGCACACCATATCCTTGTTTGTCACATTGCAATCTTTATACACTAATCTAGATCTAGAGCACATGGTGGCATATATGTCCAATAACAGAATCATCTTTGTCTACTTGATTCCTTAATAGATCGAATAGAAAAAGCTTCTTCAGTTCTTACAATTCACTAAAGGAACTAAAGGCATGTTTTGTATCAAAAAAAAGGACTAACATATCCCTTACAGCACGAAAATCTTCAAAAAAAAAAAAAAAAAGCTACTTGTAACTAATACAGACATGGCTCCTCTCATTTGGCACCTTAAAGGTGATAAGTAGCAATATAAGAGACTAGTCAAACAACACCTAGGTTGACTCATAAGTGACTTGTGAAAGAATACTTGTATCTTTATAAAAGATAATGGAACTTGATCGAGTTAATCAAGAATTGGATGTAGCCTCGGTGGTTGAGGTGAATCAGTATAAAAGCATTGTGTGTTCTTATCTTACTCTTTATCTACTCTCTTAAGGTCTTGCTACTAGTTCATTATTTTGAAAAGTGTTGAGTTTTTTTATTGATACTATTCAACCCCTCCTTTTAGTGTCTCTTTTTTTCTCCACATAACCCAATTATAGGATTTATTTTAATGGAATAGCCTTGGCCAAGGGTTCTACTACTAGGACCATGGCTAGGAGAATACAAAAGGACTAGGTTTAGAATGATGATATCGGGCCTAAGCTCATCTTGAGCTACAACCTTCAAGGCATATAGCCCAACACTTCTTATGTAAATATGTCTTTTATTTTGACATTGTATTATGGGTTAATTAGTATAACATTTATTTTTTCTTGTATTTTCTTTTAGGTGTAATTAGCAGATTAAGAGGTGTAACTATTAAATAGTTCATGTAATTAAATGATTAGTTATTGGGCTTAAGACGTGGCGCCACCCACATAGGGGTTGGACGTCCACTTATTGTATCATACACCCTACCTTAGGCTAGCTAAATCAATTTAATCACATGTGCCATCCATTAGGCACACCACATCCTTGTTTGTCACATGGCAATCTTTATACACTAATCTAGATCTAGAGCACATGGTGGTATAATATTGGAGCACACAAGGAACACGACTTCTAGAGCCAAGGAACTAGGTGCCACATTTGAATTTCAAATTTGGCAAGCCACTTGATCATGGTTAGGCAACAATGGTTCTATTTTGACCTTGATTTGCCTAGCTTTCTCCCTAAGCTACCTCACTCTATAATTGTCTTTCCTTGTATTTTTCCCGTCAATTTTGGAGTATACACTAGTGCAAAAGAGGTATTTTACGTCAGTTATTTTGGGGTTTTTACGTCAAAAAAAGTCTAACGTTAATGCGGGAGACGTAAATTTACGTCGGATCCACCATGTCCGACGTAAAATGGTTTCCCACACATCCCCGTCATCAGCGGCATCTACCTCTCCCGCGTTGCCGACCGGAAGCCCCAGGCCGACTTCGAGGTCGTCCTCTTGGCCCTCTACGCGCACGAAACAACCTCACGCGACCTTATATACAAACCCCAACATCCAAACAAACCATGCAAAATGCAACCAGAAAACAAAAAAACGCAACAAACCACGCAACCAGAAATGCAACAAAAAATGCAACAAAAAACGCAACCACAAATGCAACCATAAACGCACAACCCTAACCTCAAATGCCAAATCCAATCAGTCAAAACGTCCGGAACTCCCCACAGTGTGACCGAAAACGCCCACACCCCTAGCCGGAAAGCAGAGTCACCAGAAATGACCACAAATCTCGCCGGAAAGTAGTAACCTCAAACGCCCTTTGTATCTCTGTTCTGTACAAGTGTCACGCGCAAAGAAAACGAAGTGCATCTGGGGAAATTAAAAGGCTATTTTACGTCGGATTACACCTAGGGTTGACGTAAAATTGAAAATCTAAGTCGGGTGTGGATAATGTCCGACGTAGATGTTCACATTTACGTCGTCCTATCAGTTGTCCAACGTAAAAAAAGTTTGCTTTATTTTCAAAATTGTCATCGCATTTGTTTAACGTCGGGTGCTTTTATGTCCGATGAGAATACGCTGACGTAGATTGTATATTTTGCACTAGTGATATTTGAGATTGATTTAGAAATTTCTCTCTTCTAAAGGTCATGTTCTCTTTTTGGAGTTTTTACTCCTAATGATCTTTTGTGGAGGAAATATCCTCCTTGTGGCAAGATCTTCTCTTCTTGATCATCCTTTCCTTGAAAGTTGGCACACCACATCTCGTCTTCCACCATATTTTGTTTGATTTTCTTCAACTTGGAGTCATGTGTGAAGATTGGAAAGGAGATAGAAATCAAAGGTTGATGAATTTGGCTTCCATTTACCACCTAGATTCTATCATATGTTTTCAAGTCAAAATTGGAAGAAATTGTTTTATGTTTTTTATACCCTATACATATATTTATTGCATGAAATGAAAATTCTATATTAGTGTATTCTTTATGTTTTTCTACTGCATTATAACTACATTATACTAAGTGTAGCAACTTATTAAATTGTTATATTTACACTAATAATGATATTAATTCTGATTTACATAACATTCTTACAATTTGTCACATGTCACTAATTAAATTATAACAGAATTATTGAGATAAATTTACAGAAAGACCAACTTAATTTAATAAAATTACTTAAGATACTAAAGTAAAACTTTCATAAATTTAAGAAACTAAGCTGAAATTTAAAATATAAAAAAGAGACGACTACAACAATGATAAGGAAGGTTGTCTTAAAGTATAAATCAGTATCGTTCTTCTGTTGTTCCCTCAAGAGAGAAGAAAAAAAAAATTCATATTCATGCCGCAATATCATTTCCAACATAAACCAGTCATAATTTTATAAGAAACCTCTCTAACCCATTGAACTTCACCAAAAAAAACAAAGAAATTAAAGAAAAAAATGATAACAGTGAAAAAAAATTAGAAAAAGTGTGCATTGGAATTTACCTTGGCCAGCTTATCATGAACCCCATAACCATAAGATCCATGCGAGTTTTGTGCATTCGCAAGTGAAGGAGCTGCCGGAGGCGGTTGTGACGGCTCCACCGGCGACTGCGGCGGAGGCGGCGGCGGCGGGGGGGCAGTTCCCCTGAGAAGAAGATCAAGCCTTGAATAGAACGGCCAAGAAGAGGAACCGTGATCTGCGGCTGCTGATTCTGATCTGTACCTCTTCTTCATGGACTCCACCTTATTCTTGCACTGCGTGGATGTCTTGGTGCAGTTGGCACGTGACGTCACGTGCCTGGCCACGTCCTCCCAGTCATGGCCCTTGAGTTTGGCTCTGTTTCTCAGCACCCATTTGGCCTCGTACGCCTCAAGGAGCCTTGACACCGCCCCTTCACTCCACTCGTCTCTCTTCACTCTTTCGCCCCTTCCAAACCCTACTTTCCTCACGCACTCTTCCTTCATGCCACAAGATTGCTTCTTATCATTCTCTTCTTTCTCCTCCATCATTCTCTTCTTCATCTACTATTTTTCACTTTCTGATAACCCACCTCTTGCCTCTAACTACAAGAGCTACAAAACCACTAGCATAAGAAAAGGCTTCAAATTAAGATAGTGTTACCATGTCACACAATAAAAGACGGTATAAATTAAAGTCTATATAGTAGTTATGTGTGTTACTTAATCAAATGGTTTAAGATTCCAATGCTAAAATTAGATATAAAATAGAATATGTAAAGAAAAAAAATACATAATTATACATAATATTTCTTTTTTATTCGTTCCTGGAGTATCCACCGTCAATAGCAGTGATTAATCTCCTCACTACGTTGAAGGCACCTCAAAGGGTGGGATAGTTAGTCCCAAGATTTAACGCGACTACATAAACAAGGTAGGATTCGAACACCTGACCTTGATAGATATATCTTGTAAATTAATACTATGATTAAAATTATTAGGTTTGATTTAGTGGTGAGAATTGGATCAGAATGTACAAGATTTTTATATTTGAAATTTAATTTGAAATTGTTATCGTAATTTTGATAGATAAAAGAATATTATAATTAAAAAAAATGGTTGTAATTATGGTGTTCTCATGGTTAAAGATTTGAAAGAAAAATTCGGATCTTTAGGGCTGAAATTACAATTAGAGTCTTTTTTCGAAACCTTGGTTGTATTAAAGTCGGCATGACTATAGTTACATTTACTTTTGAATCACAAAACCCTAAAAACTGTGATGTTGTAGGTGAAATTGTGGAGATTAGAAGTGTAAGTAAGGGATAGTGGGCAAAGAGGTTGAGTTTTGTCAAATGAGTTAATGATGTTAACATGTTTTTTCTTCTTACTTTTGTGGGAGAAGTAATGGAAATTGTTGGGGTGAGTTGTTTGGCTGTTAGCGTTGACATGAAGCCAACCAAGACATCCACTGATGGTAGGAGGAGTGGTGGTGGTGGGTCTATCACGTGGCTCTGTCACCTCTTCCATTACATCCTCGTCACCCAATTTATGTATATCAGCCAAATAATGTCTGTCATGTATTCTTTTAACACGTGAAAAATAATTAAAATTTATCTATTGTTATTTTCAATATATTTTTATTATAAAGTATACCTTGTTTTCATTTAATATTTTTATTCATAATTAGATAGTTTTGTACTTAAAACTTATGTATGTGTCTGAATGGATTATTCCTTTTTTTTTTATATATATATAAGTAGTTGGACGAGAAGAAAATAAGAATAAATAAAATAAGTTTATTTGTAAGTTAAGTTTATAGATAATTTAAAAGTATTTTTTACTTTTTTAAAACAACTAATATAAAAGAACTTTTATAAATTAACCTGTATATAAACTAATTTCATTTTTTGTTATTTTCTTCTTTTATTAGTATTTTTGATGAAGTATATCAAAACAAGTACTAAACTTCAAACCAATAAATCAAATGATGAAAGGATATCCTACAAGTTTTTTTCAGGATTCAAATTCATGCATATTTTGGATATGAAATAGATTATAATGAGAAATGCATATTTATCTTGTGTGTACTCATAATCCTTAACAAAAATTAGTCACTACTTTTAATAATAAATATATCATGATTAAAAAAGAAAAAATAAGTTATCAATATTAAGTAAATTTTGAATATAGTTTGACCCACCGGTAATAAGTTGTCATATATGATACCCTAGATTAAAAAAAAGGTTAAAATAAAATTTTTGTCCCTCATTTTAATTTTAGATTTCTTTAAATTTAAAGTTTTCAGTTTAGTTCCTTTAAATGTCTTTATTAGATTAAATGGATCATTCCATCAATATTTTTTTACTAACAATATTAAATTTTGGGTTAGATTACGATTCCCATCACCACCGGCCAATGTGCAACATCCACTCCAATTAATAGCTATACAATTTTGTATAGTTCATTTTTTTTATCCAATGTCCTTTCTTCTCTTTGTCTCTCTCACGTATGCATATGCTTTTATGCCCCTTTAATGTGTCTTTTGAAGGGCCTTTTGATGATGTACAACCACTAGACCTAAAGTTACGCCTAATGGCTTTCTAATAACAACTCGGATTGGTCATCGTGGTGAGGAATCATAGTAGGCCACATCAAGAAAAACAGGTAATCCAATTCTGAATGGTCCACAAAGCAAAAGGCTAAGCCATTAGATTGGTTCTTATAACGTATTATTTTCCCCTATATCTTTCTTGGGTTAAAGATAGGTCTTTTGCAACATCAAAAGAAATCAGATATTATCCTTTTTTTATACGTCACTCGAATACATTGACTTAGGATGTTTGGTATCTGTTCATATTCTATGCTTTCCAACCATTGAAATAAAAAACAATGATCTTCAAAATTTTCTCTTTTCTTGACAAAACTTTAGGAAAAAGAAGCGGGAAAAGTCTCTATGGACAAAAGAGTATCTTATAGAGCACTTATATTTATACCTTTATCTAATCCAATGAGGCATATGTAAAAGCTTATAAAATGCGAGATTTTATCTTTCTCTGCTCTAAGTATTTTTTAATATATATATATATATATAAATGTCAGAATTTGTTGACATCAATGTAAATATAAAAACTTACGTTAAATCTTATATTTTTAACACAGACCATGAAATCCATAACCTTTTTCAATGCTTTCTTTAAAAAAAGAAAAATGATAGTAACACATTTTTCAATGCTATTTATTTTTTCTAATACCTTTTTCCTTATTAGTTTAAGAGAACTTTACGTCTCCGTGGTTGGAGAAATGAGACGTGCATATTTAGTTAGATCTCATGAACTATATTAAGAATTAATTATTTATACATTTTAATATAAATTTTTTTTATTGGCAATTAATCATATTTTTTAATAATATCATGTCATTTATTTATTTAATAAAATAAAAATAAAATAAAATAATTTAAAAAATATGATTGATTGTCAGTATAAATAACAATGTTTGAATGATTAACTTTTATATTAAGTAAATAATTTAATTAGGGTTAGATTGTTAGGACTTATTTTTGGAACTCAGATCGGTTTGGGGTTTTCTAGAACCCATGGATTTCACATTGGAGGGTAAATGTTCGAGTTGTTCCTCCATCAGTCAAGTTTCACGGGTGCGAACCTCACCGCCCAAAATATTGAGATGCCAAAGTAACTTTGGTGTTAAAATAGAAGATTTAGATAATTTTTTAGCTTTAAAATGAGATAAAGATCAAATTGATAAGATTAGTATAACTTTAGATACTACTTTAAACTTTACAGAGGTCATAGTTATGTAATTAGAAATGAATAAGATAATATTCATAATTAAATCTTAAGTTTTAAATTTTAAATCCTAAACTTAAAAAAAAAAAAAATATATATATATATATATATATATATAAAAGATTGAAAAAAACTAATGCAAAGATACGAGGAAAAATTTAGATGATAAAGAAAAAACTTTATATTGATTTCAAATTGTATGAAAATTACCTCATACAAATACAGATATACTCACTTTGTGTGTCAATTAGTTACAAGACATCATATACATATGGGGTCATAAAAAACTGAAAATAGAAAATAGAATTGAGGTAGGATTAAAGTTATAAAATATTCTCCACTTTTGATATGAATCCTTTCTTTACAATGTTATTTCCAACAATAATCATTAACTAACTCCAAGCATTAATTCATGATTGCTTCTTGGAACAAGCTTTGTGAACATGTGTGTTGGATTCTCATTAGTATTGATCTTCTGCATTTCAATCATCTTCTTAATGCAAATGAAGTGGTACTGGACGTCAATATATATGTTTGGTCCTGTCACTATGTACCTGGTCCTTGGCCAAACAAATTGTATTTAGACAACATATAGAAAATGATAGCTTTATCATGAGGAAACCCAAGATCACTTATACGACCCTTCAGCCAAATTTCTTAGATCAAAGGACAATTTGAAATCTCTCAAAAAACTATTTTAATGTTAACAAACTCAAATATTTTTATGTTTAAGATGATTGTGACACACGTTATTCCACATACTAACATGGACATATAAAATAAATAAGATTAAAAAATAGTTTCAAAATAAAATTTACTGAATAAATACAATTCATAAATCCCCTCAAATAAAGGTACCACATAATTACATGTAATCAAAACAAGAACTAAAACAAATGTCAAATAAAGTGATTACATGAGGATGTTGATCAAGCTCAAGATGAAGACATGATCCTAGTTGGTTTTGATGATTACAAATGAGCCTCTTGAGAGACAAGAGTACAACTTGTAGTTTATTTTGTGTTTTGAGCCTCTTAATAAATAAGAGTGCAAGTTGTATCTTGTTTTGTTTGGTTTTAAGCCTTGTTGCTTGTGTGCTTTGAGCTTGGTAAGTAACTTAGCATTTTATTTATATCTAGATGATAATTAATGACTTAGATATAAGTTGACATTGATTTATGAAGACTACCTATATTAGAAGAACAAAATGAAGATGATCATAAAGGCAACCTAGTACCACCTTTAGAAAATCATCACAGGCGGTGATGTTCTAATAACCAAGCCAGAAAGTGATTACACATAAGAAAACTACAATATTTTGCAAGTCAACACAAAAATAGGATACATCTTAGCTTGCTCTTTGTCTAGAATAAAATATACAACAAATTTAGCAATTACAAGACTACGAGAGAGATATTGCAAACCAATAGGGTAACTCATGAGAGAACTAAAGATGTAAGGCTCAAAAAATCTATAACTCTTTAGAGACATTATGAGTTATTCTCTATGAAGGAGAACGGAGCCATTCATAAGATGTTTGGAAGATTTAAAACTATTATCGATGGAATAAAAACCCTAGGAATTCATAAGATGTTTGATGAAGGATGTGGATTTTCAAGGTGTTCTCCTTCTTGTTCTTTAGAGCGTATGCATAATATGAAAAATAAAAAACTTAAAAATAAAAGAACTATCGTAATCCCCTTTTTAAAAACTTAATTCACACTTAAACCTTTTGTAAAAATACTTTAACTATAGTTCTTTTTTCCTTTCCCTCAAATATTAAAACTTGTAAATAAATGATATATCAAATAAACATATTTCTTCTAACCCAAATAATTAATAATTAAAAATATAAAATATACAAAATAAATATATTTCTCTTA